GCTACTAGTAGCTTCTTGTCACCAGTAGCTTCTTGTTCCTAGTAGTAAGGCCAGGCGCTACTAGTAGCTTCTTGTCACCAGTAGCTTCTTGTTCCTAGTAGCAAGGCCAGGAGCTACTAGTAGCGTCCTTGCTCCTAGTAGTAGGGCCAGGAGCCCCTAGTAGCTTCTTGTCACCAGTAGCTTCTTGTTCCTAATAGTATGGCCAGGAGCAACTAGTAGCGTCCTTGCTCCTAGTAGTATGGCCAGCCCCTAGTAGCTTTTTGTCGCTGGTAGCTTCTTGTTCCTAGTGGTAAGGCCAGGAGCTACTAGTAGCGTCTTTGCTCCTAGTAGCGATGCCCTTTGTTACTAGTAGTTTCTTGTTCCTACTTGGATACTACATATTGATGCATGTCACTAAGGGTCTACTGTGGCGCGGTCAAGCCGAAGTTGAGGTGGTGGGGTCAGAAGGCAGAACCAGTCGGCTTTGTTTTTAGGCATAGTGTGATGTGATACGGTGTGCTTGAGGTCGCTCAGCCCATTCTTTGGACAGCTGGTGTGCGACCGTATTGTGAGCATGTGGAACTCCCTTGGGCAGCCGTCCCGCTTTTTCATCATTGAGTTCGGAGGCCTTGCAGTCTCTGTTGCATCTCATGCTTGTTGTACTTATCCACACGGTGCCTTTCATGCAGTTGTGCTCAATATTGAATTATCCTTTGAGTCATCTTGCTGCAAGTGGTTTTGGAAGCTCGTTTGGTCAGCCCTAGACCTGCGCTTTCACCAACCCTTATAGACAGCCCTCCACCGCCTGGCCAGGCGGAACTGGCGTTCTTGCTCGAGACATCCTCGGTCATGCCCGCAACTTGTCAGCAACGGGCTGGGTAAGTGCATGTTTGGCGGTGCCCTTGCTCACTCAGCCACGGCCCTTGCTAGTGCTTATTCACGTTTCAGGCAAGGAGCACTCCAACTTTTTCGCCTCCTTGCAAAGATATGTTATTGGTGAACGCTCGCCAGCACTTCAAGCGGCACAGAGGTGCCTTGCAGCTTGTGCACAGTTTGGGGGACTTTGAGATTGGACCGAGAGAAACAAGTGCTTTATCTTTAACTATATAATAGTGATGGCCTCCAACCTAATAGCGAGGTGGCAGCATTCTTCCTTTTCCAGGAAAACCGCATCAGAGTTCATCGCGAGCAAATTGCGGATCTTTGATGCAGATGCCCGGACTGCTTCGCGCCTGCGGCCACTTTTGCTCGAGGAAGCAGATGGACCTTTGTGAATTGGAAGCATTTGTTGTTGTTTTTTGCATTTGGGTTGGTTTGCGTTTGTTTATCAGTGGTGGTCGCATGGTTTAGAGTCGGCTGTAGGATTTGCGCTTCGGTCCTGTGCATCCAGGCAGACATAGGCAAACAGTTCGGCCGTTTTGGTAGTGAGGTACTCGGTCGTGCTCTCCAATGAGCTGCTGGATGAGTGACATCAATGCAAGATAGATGCGTGGATTGATAGATCGCATAGACCCCAATGTCGGTGGTTTATATAATTATATATATAATGTATACCCCCCATCTGTCTAGGACATCATGGGGTCTGTGCCATCGAACCTCTGAAACTACTGTAGCATTTGTTCAGTCCCCCAGTTCGGAGCCCCACTCTTCCAGTTTTCGGGCTTGTCGCATCCAGTCCATCGGCTTTCTTTATTCGCATGCATTTGCTAAGTGGTGCAGTGGGTATTGAAACTTCAGACCTATCACTAACCTCCATTTGTCACCTGATTATGACTGTTTTCCTCGTGTGTAACTTCTGCCATACACAAAGACATGTTGTTCTCTCAATGTTCTTCGCCTCAAAAAGGTTCTGTGCGATTGTTAAGATGACTAAGCAGTCCCTTGCGAAGCAAAACGTGCCGCAAGGTTTGACCCCGTGCGCTTGCGCCTCTCCTGGCAGGCTTTATGTTTGTTCAGAGTTGTGCAGTCGACTCTCCAGCTACTCCAACGCAGACAATCTGCATGTGTATATATATATATACACATTCATTTCTGGATTTGCATCATTGCACGCATTGCACGCTTAGACATTTTTTTGGTCCAGCATGTTCCGTCGTTTTTTTGGGTCAACAGAGAGAGTTGGATGACGGGGCCTCACGAGGCGAGCAACCCTCCGGACACGAAGCGATGCAGGCTGTGTTCCACTTACCGGGAGGCGTTCGGAACGTGAGTTTTGCAGAAAATTGGATTAAGGGAACATCTAGTACAGGAAGCCCATGTTTAACTTTTTGGGGTGTGGGGTGAGAACAAGGGTTTCCTGCAGATTTTCCCTTGACCTATTCATTGGTTTTTTCGATTTGATGTCCTTGACGCCAGTACTGTACCTGCTTGATGCATGTGGACTTACCATGACTTACCTTCATATGCAACGCGAGAGGACCAGGAAACGGTCAGGAGGGAAACCCTTTC